CGTCAAACACGGCCACCACGACGGCCGCTGTCCAGCGCTGCAGAAACGGCCAACACAACGGCAGCGTTCGCCCCGTGGGCATTGACCCCTGCATCCACGCGAAAAAAAAAAGTCCAACATAAAAACGGCTTGTGCCAATCAATTCCATATAGATCTAGTTACTTAGTTGGAAGTAAGTCAATCTAGTCCCATCGGCAAATTTCCTTTGGCGGCAACAAACAGTGGACTGCTTCTTTGCTGTATGGCCGTGAGTTGAGCGTGATACGAACACCCCAAAAGCATGGAGGCCGTATCAGTTGAGCTGATCGACATCTCATCATGCTCGTATGGGCCAATCCTGCACTGGCAACTTAAGCAGGAAGTCGTAAACTGGGTGTTGCGCTTTGTGTTGCACGTCGCGCAGAACATGTTTTACATACATATCCTGCGTAGGTGCTACATAACGGAAAGCGTGACCTGCGCAGGTTGCTGCACGTCACTCAGATCACAGAGACTCAGGATGTGCATCCGGCATCCGCAAAAAAACTCATGCCTGTTTTTACATGCCTTCTTCCAGTGGAGCATGCTGTTGCTCCAAACAAAATGCACATTGAAAAAGTCATGCTGTCATGCCATGCCTGCGAGATCAAACCCAAATGTGTTGGTTAATTTGTTCATATCCTGATACTTTTGTTGCCATATCTGCAATGTTTCCGCAGCATATTGAAGCTGGACATGTGAAAACACGACATCATAAAGATGTGCGAATCTTACTCAGTGAGCGACGCACCGATTTGTTGCAGGAAGGACCATGCCCCTGCCTACGCTACACAAGTGTTGGGACGTGTTATTTGTGTGATTACAATAGACACCAAGGCAATATCACATCCACATGCGAGGCAACTCAAGCCCAAACATCTCCCCAAAAGGTAAAACGCAAAGTACGCTCACCAGTTACATGAACAAACTCATCTCCCAAGTGATTTGAACAACCCCAAAGTTTCTGACAAGCCATGGCAGGCACGACTCGAAATGGGAAAGCTGCTCTCCCAGGAATTCTTGCTGCTAAGAAATAGGAAGAAACTGGCCGTTCCCTGGACAGTCTTCTCAGTTGAACTTGCAAGTTGTCTTGGAGAATATAGTCAACAGGGCATGCTTCTTGGGTTCATTTCTTCACATAGGCTCTGGGACTCACATTCTGGCCGAATTTTGGAGGAACGAATGAATGGCGTTTTTGAAATCCTGTCCTGTTTTGTTAAAACGCAAAGGCTCTCCACTGCCACTCAGGGGATGCCCGGTGGCGAGCAATCCTCCAGCCGTGCGGGTCTGGAGGATTGGCTCGGTGGTCTGGACGTGTGGTCAAGACAAATCATCTTCGGGTGCAGGACAAGTGCATCATGATGGCATCATGACAGAGTTCCAGATATGTTTGATGCATCTTCCAATGAATCTTCTGCGCCCTTGATGACCTCATAAAGGCAAGATAGCTTTGTGCGGAGCAAACCAAGCAGAGGCGCGTTGCAAATCATCAACGCATCCCGACCAACACTGGCCATGGCTCTGAACAATTTGATTGTACCCTTGCAAGTACTGGAACCAAGGCCAGCATGGTGACGTTTACAACACATCGTGCATTGTCAAAGAAAAACTTGACCCTCATAAGCTCCAGGACTCAGGTTCAATACAACTACTGTAACTAGTGTGGTATTTGGTCTTCCCAGCGTCAAGGAAATGCCAACAACACCAGAGTGAGTCCCCCCATCAAGAACAAAATGAGTCTTCGGCAGTATTTGCAAGTTCAACTGATATATTACTTCAACTGCACCTGGTGAAAAATCGGAAAAAGCACTTCAACCTAAATGGCACCCATTGGCATAAAAGCAGCTGCTGAAGAAAATCTTGACACTTACACACAATACACACACAGTGTCTGAGAGTCACAAGAAACTCAACTAAGAAAACCATGAGCAACTAGCTGCTGTGCCACAGGAGAAGATCTCTGTCCTACGCTCGCCATGTCTTTTTAAACATGCACATGAAGAGCATCGAACAAGTGATGTTTCACTCATGACTCATGACTTGTGATGCTTGGTTGAGAGATGTGGCAAAGTCACAAATCGTCTCTTGAAGGGTACCTGGACCATGGGAACCCCGTGAAACCAGTTTCTGTTTCAAGTGCGGCGAGGAGCGGCTGCCCGGTCACCAGTTTGGATCTTGAACCTCACAGCCAGTACTCCCTACGGTGAACAAAATGAACATTGAAGACCACCGCCCACAAGGCATGGGATCCACTGCCATCCCCTTACTTCCTAGCGACAGAAAAAGTAAACAATGTGTTTGTTCACCCTCAATATATGTTTGAGTGCTCTGGGGTAATGTCTCGTAAATCCTATAGATATACTATTTTGTCAACTAATAAGGTCAACTTCCATGTGAAAAGACTGAGCTCTGAATTCAAGGTCTGTATATGTTTCAAGTAATTAAAGGACCAAACGCCCCTATATGCTTTTGCGGCGCGTTCATAAACAGTAGAGGAATGATAGCGGAAGGAGGAGGAATGATTGAATGTAGTGTGTGAGAGTGAGCTTGAGTGTGAGTGTAAGTGAGTGTAAGTGAGGGACGTTTCATCACATGTTGAAGCGACACAAAGAACAGGAAAAGGGCCGTCAACAAACAAACCAAAGGTGTCAACAAAAAACTCACCGGGTCTCGGCTCCGCACGGTGAAAACACATCGTTTTCCGCATGGTCCGGTGAATCGGTGCATCGACGCGCGGTTCGCGGCGGCGGTTCGCTGTCGCCGTTTGGCTCTGTGACTGACGGGGACTGTCCCACCGATGCAAAGCGGTGCTCCGGCGAGCTGAGGGGTGAATGACATGGGCAATACGCAAACTGTGACCATGCTTAGTCCACTTAGTCCTTCGACACATCCGAAACATCGAGAACATGGAAAGCTCCAAGTCCTACTATACATGACTAGGGGATTGTCAGTGGGTGGCTCTTGAGCAAGGTCACATTGTTTGGGGTTTTGGGTCTCCTTGTGGGTACCAAGGGGAGCTTGGCTGAGAAGCTGGCCCAACGAAGCACCTGCAAGAATTTTGCAGTGGCTGCAGTGTGATACGGACTCAGGTGCAGCCGAATGTATTGAGCGCACACACTCTTTGACCTGCATGGCCAAATGGTACAGGAAGCGAAAAGGGTCAAGTGGGAACAGGACCAGGGCTTTGCGAACCTGGTGAAAAGAAGCTATTGGCCGGTATTCTGCGTGCGCCGAGCTTGAGAACCTGTTCGTGTCGTTCACGTCGAAGCAACTTTTCTAGAAAGCGTTTCTGAAAGCTTGGAAGCGCTCAGCAGCTCCAGGTCTCATCCTCCCAAAGGCCAGTGGCACTACAAGCTTGCCACAGCTTTCCGGCAAGTGTCGCAAGTGGCAAAAGTCTTGCGCAATTCCTGCCGGCAATGCTGAAATCATGGCCGAAAACACTGAGTCTGGCGCCATTTCCACGAACTGACCAAGGTCGTGTCGCAAGGCATTGAAAACTCAAGATCCACGTTCGCAAGCCCTGATTGGGAGACACTCATCATTTGGATGACCAACACTGCAGAACAGACTCGTCTCAACAAAGCTTGCAACCTCACACCAAAACACAACGCTTAGTGTACTATGGCTCCGTTTACGAACGACTTCCAAATGGGATATCCAGGACATATTTTCTTCGGGTTTACTTGCCTGCCCCTCTTTGCTAGGCATTCTGCTCTCGGCAATTCTGCAAAGCCAACGAGACAGTGCTAACAAATTATCATGAGCTATGCCAGAAACCTTTGGTAAATCCTCTGCCGAACATGTGATTCCGTGAAAGACTAAGCTTACCTTTAAATGGTTCATTGCATTGAACAATGACATCTAGCAGATAGTCGAGCTCGAAAACTTCGTCAATCGCTGTCGCAGAGCTCAG